CACAGTTCGTACTTCTCGAGGGCGCCCACAGTCAACCGTTTGTTTCTTAAATGAACCATTTTCGCGCAAACGTTGATGAAGACGAGCAAATATTGTGTGATGAGGTACCCTACGTCCTGGATACAACTCAGCATACAATCGTCGAGCTTGCCGACCATTTCCATTACTTCGACCATAGACAAAATGCATGTCTGACAATTCCGCATTTGTAAAATTTTCCATTCTTTTCGATAAAAGAAAAATTAATTACTTATTAACACTAATGTTATAGCAAACTAAAAGCTTAATAAATGAATAATGACGAAACGCTAATTTGACATTTCTTAAAAATATTCGTATTTAACAGACAAATGTCGACAGTAGCCTACTAGGTAATGTATTAAAGACATAAAAAATACGCGTTAAGGTGTTTTATTTTTTTGCATCAAAACGGCGCCCCATACGAAGAAAAGGCAAGAGAGATTTTTTGTCCCAAATTGAACGAGGAATTCAAAAAAGTTAATTAAAGTTAATTTGTAATATCTCAGTGGCGTACCATTTTTTTCTTTAAAAAAATTCAGATTATTACACGTACGCGCGCCAATGATGAACATAAAATTCTTAATTGCGTGTCAAAAAATGCGTAATAATTACCTCTTAAAACCCACCAAATTTCATTTTCGCATCTCGACCGGTTTCAGAGCAATAAATTAAATCGTCAGTTTTTAAGAAAAACTTTTGACACTCCGTATCTCGGAAAACGAATCATTTGCAGGACATACGTCTATAAGCAAACTGCCATTATTTTCTCATGTAGAATCACCCCCTAAAATTTGTCGCACTTATTTACTAACACCCTGTATGTGCATATCATGTAGAAAGTGACTCCTTCAACTTTTAGAATCGCGATATCTCAGGAATGGTGGTTCGGGGAATGTTTCGGGATATGATTCTACGTTAGTTTGTATTCTTACCATTTCAATACATTGTCCTTTCACCCATATCCGACCATAGGGACAGTGTACTGGAAAACGAGGAAAACGAATCCTTCTTTTGTGACGTGTACCTAATGTGGCACTCAACACAACGAATATTACGCAGAGAAAAAATACACTATAAAATAAAATTCTCATTTTGATCTGAACAAGTATTTTCACTAAAGAATACAAATTTTATAGTCGGTTATGTTGTGTACTAGAACGTCTGCAATTTTTAAGAATCTGCTAGAAAATACAAATTATAAGCGATAAAGGTACATATTTATATATTATTTCTTATCTCATTCGTCAGTTTCTTTCACCGCTTCCGCTGGAAATGCAACAGTTTGTATTGAAAATGAGGCAAATGTAACACGTAATGTAGGAGAGGACGCTCACCGAATCTTTTCATTTTTCGTTAATCTCTTAGTTTTAGTTTAGACAATCTTGCTTATCGCTCCAGACAGCCCTTAGTATAGGAGATCAATGTTAAATTTCCGAATTGCTGATAGAGTACGGCCGGTCGTCCTTTGGATGCGTTTTCGTCCGAATTGAATTCGTCAGAAATCGGATAAGATAACTATTTTCCAAAAGATAATCATCCATACGAATGACTTCTGTAAAGAAAAAACTTGTCCAGTGGACGATACCACGCGTACCCTACCAACGCATAAACAACAGTTTGGCAATGTTGTCAAGTGTACGCTAGCGTTTATTTTGTACACTTTTTTTTTATCAATGCCTATTTTTTGTATTACTGTATTTACTTTCCTTTTATTCCTCCATTTAACTCCGAACACAGAAAAAAAAACTCTTTCAAGACTAAAAACTACTGCATAGTTTACTTGTAAAAACTTAGGAATTTTTTAATTCGGAACATCGGCTGTAAAACTGTAGTTGGTAAGTACAAAAATACATTATGTTGCAGCCTTTTATAAAGTACTTTGGTAAGTTATTTGAAATTTAACTAAAGACAAAAGCAGATACAATAACATCATATCAACTGTACAGTTTTTATTTTGGAGCCAAGAGAATATTAAGGTAGGTCTAAATTGTTTATATATTCACTTCCCCTCTTCATTTTATTAGAGTTTATGGATATTAATAGATATCTGTAACAAAATTAACACAAATTTTAGGTTAATTATGTAACCAAACGTCAACAATGGTGACCGATCGTGGTGTGTAGTCAAGACAATTTCACATTTCATCCTTTTATTTCCAAATTCCAATGTAAAGGTTCAGTTTGTATATAAAGGTAACATTCATAGACTCAAAATACCTGTTAATTAACCATAATCATAACTGATTAAATTTATTATTTTATGTTAAAAGGAGCGTGGTACAAGAAAAGTGACAATTTTAAATTTGCCTCTTATTTTCTTATGGGAAATGCAATGAGTTAGAAAGAGATGACGGTTGAATGAAGATAACCTGAGGTATTTCGTGACGTATTTGTTTTTTATTGGCTGATTGACTTATGCGGCGACCGTCTCTTTACGGACCGTGAACTTTTACCACTACGGTATGACAATGGCAATGTTGCCAGATTTCATCCATAATTTTACAAGCTCTTAATAAATAAATAGACACTTTTATTCAAATAGAAAGTTAATTGCCGTGCATTAAACACGAAAAATATATGCAAGCTAATATGTGTTGTATAAATTTCATTCGTATATATTATATTTAGTTCGCTCAAATTAGTTTATGTAAGGTTGGTACTACAACGAAACTACCGTGTATAAGCATAGGCTTCTCTCCCGCACCGCCTGCCCCGCAAGAGATGTATCGAACCTCATTAATCATAATTTCGTTATTAATTTTTTTGTATTGAAATACTGCAGAAAATATATTTCCAAATAAACAAATTTATAATGATATTTTAAAGTTTTTAAACAGTTAGTAAATTACATATTTTTTTAATACTTGATGATGCCCTAATTTTTATAAATTGATTTCATATACAAGCTGGGATATTAGCACATCGCGGAATGTTAGGTAACGGGTTGTTGTTTGTATTTTGACACTCACAGCTATAATTATAGAAAAAAAACTTTAAATACAAATTTAGAATATTTCCTTTATTTCTGTTGACATTATCAAAATTTGCTGGAATAAAATATACGTTTAAAGTAAAAAATAGTTAAAAAAATTAAAATACATTCCAAAATACATTGTTGTTTCCTTGAATTTAACAATAGCTTTTTGGAATAGGCAAACGCGGATTCTTATTCTACACAATATTTGGGATTTTTCTGTTCAACAAAATAGATGACTTCAAACACATACGCCAAAGCCTACTTTTACTGTTGTACCGCCTGGGCTACTACAAAATAGCAAAGTGTGACGTGACGCGAGCAGTGGGAAATTGACCACATCCGCGTTTTACCTTTATATTTTTAAATCTATTATTTTATATGTATAAGTATTATTTCGTTTAAATAATAATCTTTTTATTAAGACGTATTTATTTAAGAACATAGAACCCATGTATTTTAAGTAATCAACTATATATACAGGGTGATTCAAAAAACCGCTGACAGACTTCTAGGGTAAGTAATACATGAAAAATTAAGACGAAAAGTCTTAATAAACATAGGGTCGCAAATGCCTCCTTAACGAGATACAGGGCGTCAAAGTTTCCGTAAAATTAAAGCGTAAAAATGACAAAAAGAAGCTTATAATCTAGTTTACTTAACTCACTTGTACACATTGACATTAGTGACAGGCGATGTTTAATTTTATTTTGAATAGCACAAGCCTACTATGCGAAACTAAAATGAATGAAAATAAAATTGGATTTACAAATTTTCTACAAAGGTGTTTCTCTTAAAAATGGTTGCTTTAATCCAAATTTTGCAAGAGACCAATTCGATAGACAATTGAACACTTTACACGAAAATAGTGCCCGTTTGACAAAATTAGCAGTGGCGTAGAAAATATTTTTAAAAAAGGGTCACGTTGACCCCGTCTCTACGACACTGCTGCTCATAAAATTTTGAGCAGTACATCAAACATTGGTCTTAAGGTGCTAACTACGCATAGCAAATTTGAAATAGAAATGTTCAGGCATTTTGGAATTATTGCAGACAATGTTTAATTTTACAGAAACTTTGACGCCCTGTATCCCATTAAGGAGGCATTTGCGACCCTATGTTTATTAAAACTTTTCGTCTTAATTTTTTATGTATTATCTACCCTAGAAGTCTGTCAGCGGTTTTTTGAATCACCCTGTATATACAGGGTTAATAATGTAATGAAAACCGCAAATATCTGAGAAAATTGAAACTGTAATACCTACAATACCTTTATCGGTGAAAAGAGAATTTGACTTTTTATAATATGGTGCAAAAAATACAGGTTAATCCGTCTGAATTTAAAATGTTTTGTCGGTTTCAAGTTTTCAAAATGTAACGTAAAAAATGTAACACTTAGTATAATTTTCTTCAGGTAAATTTGATAGTAGATGGTAGTACATCTTATGTTATTTGTGTATTCCGAAAAGCAAGTGAAAGCTTGCATAACGAAGAAAGATATAAAGAATTTTCGAAACGCTTGCATCTGTTAAAATTTTTTATAAAATCGATTATCTCTAAATCGATTAGATTTAGGTACAGGGAAGCGTTAACATTTTTTATTTATTTTCATTCTATCTTGTCGATAATTCAATAATATATAGGGTGTTCCATTTAAAATAACAAAGTTGACAGCTACTTCCGGTATAACGAAAAGTGCTACGCTGATGGCATTATTTTCATTGAACAGAACATATCTGATAATCCCTGTAAACAGAATTTCAGTCATATTATCTTTGGTTTCTCAGAAGCGTTTAATAAGCCACTTACCGTGAAGAACCCTGTATAAGGAGTGCCTATAATAAGTCTGTTGACGTTATTTTTGTAATTATTTTTTATATGACGTATGCCTTACAGTTATGTAATAATTAATTAAAATTGCATGGCATCCATTAATTACATATTAACACATCGACAATTTATTATTTTATAGGTATCACATTTAATTTGCATTCTTTCTTCTGCTAGCTTGACTATTGTCTTTGATGTCGACATAAACTTTATATACAGGGTAGCCAATTGAAAACGAAACAGAGCCATTTTCAGGAACTGCGTCAAGATTGTAGAAAAACGCTCAGACCCCTCGATTTTAGTTTAAAGGGGGACATTCTTTGCTGGTATTTTTGACTCCGCCACTTTCACCCCAAGCAATGGAAAGCATCACCCCAAAATATTTAAATGGCATTGGGGGTTGATTAATATTTCTTTTGAAAGCTCTTACAATTCTCTTTACAACAAACTTTAAATTTTATAATTCCGCCCAATACTTATTAAGAATTTTGATTTTAAAGTTGAAACTTATGTACAAACAATTAGTAACGGTAAAAATGTCAGTCATTCGAGTTAAGTACGCCAATGGTATAAATTTAGTATTTCTTGCGTTACATTGGTTTTTGGCGATTTGTTATCACTTTCGTAAAAAAAAACAATTGTAAAAAACAGAAATGAATGCTATACACACACAATGAACGTAAAATTAGTGGATTCCAAATTATTTTCTAGTATTATTTGGAAGCGTTGGTTGGTAGTTTATTTAATTGTGTTTTTGAAAATTAAACACTATGGTTTATTCCATTGCGGAAAGGGTAGATATCATTTCGCTTTACTTTATGAACAATAAATGTGCGAATAGAACAGCTCAGCTATTTAATGAACAACATCAAGATCGACATGTCAGGAGGAAGTATGTTCTAGAGTTAGTAAAAAAATTTCAAGAGACAGGGAACGTAGCCAATAAAAAACGAGAAATTGAAAAACCTATAGTTAATGAAGCTAGTGAAGTTGCAGTTTTGGGACAAGTTCATCTTGATCCTACATTAAGTACGAGGCAGCTGGCATCTGTGTCTGGGATCAATCGAACTAGCATACAAACCATTTTGAAGAAGAATAAATTCCATCCATACAAAATACATTTAGTCCAGGAACTTCATGAGGATGATTATGACCGCCGTTTGCAATTTTGCGAAATAATGAGTGAGCGAGCAGGGAACGATCCACAGTTCCTTTTTAACATCTGTTTTTCTGATGAATGCAGTTTTTTCTTGAACGGGACGGTAAATCGTCACAATTGCCGCTATTGGTCCGATTCAAACCCAAGAGTTTTTCACGAGGTGCATACACAGCAACCGGAAAAATTAAATGTATGGGCTGGAATTTTCGGTAAC